GATGTCTGTGTGTGTGTGTGTCTGTGTGTGTGTCTGTGTGTGTGTGTGTGTGTGTGTGTGTGTGTGTGTGTGTGTGTGTGTGTGTGTGTGTGTGTGTGTGTGTGTGTGTGTGTGTGTGTGTGTGTGTCTGTATAACGCATAACTCATGAACCGATACACAGAAAAACACCAAATTTTAAACTTAAGCTTTGTTTCAGCGTCCAATGAGCTGATTAGATTTTGGGCAGAGTCGGAACATCTGGGGGGGTACTTTATGGGTGGTCATTTTTATATTTTATGGAATATATCTGTTATTTACGTTTGGAGAAGAAAATTCTTCAAATAAAAGTTACTTCTAATATAATTATCTATAATTTTTGTTATATACAAAATTTTCCTAAAATGGTCCGTATTCGAGAAATTTGACAAAATGCAAAAAAAATATTTTTTTATAAAAATTGTTCAAATAAAAGTTGTTTGTAATATAATTCTCTATAATTTTTATTCTATACATAATTTCTCTAAAATGGACCGTATTCGAGATATTTGAGAAAATGTGTAAATTTCGAATTTTGAAGAAAACTCAAAAACGGATAAAGAAAAAAACATTAAATTTTAAACTTAAGGTTTATTTCGGCCTGACGTGAAATGATTAGATTTTGGACATAGTCGGAACATCTGGGGGGTACTTTATGGGAGGCCACTTTTATATTTTATGGAATATATCTGTTATTAATGTTTGGAGAAAAAAATTGTTCAAATAAAAGTTACTTCTAATATTATTATCTATAATTTTTGTGTATTGTAAAAATTTCCTGAAATGGTCCGTATTCGAGAAATTTGACAAAATGTGCAAAATTCTGATTTTTATGAAAGTTTTTAAAATAAAAGTTGTTTGCGATATCGATCTCTATAATTTTTGGTTATGCATGATTTTTATAAAATGGACCGTAATGAAAAAATTGTAGGAAATTTAAATTTTTCAGTATTTTCGTTTTCCATGAATATCTATAGAAAAATGTTTCGAGGTAGATGTATGTGGACAATGTATATATTTAGTTTATCCTCTAAACATTTATAGAGATGCTGTAATAGGTTGTACAAAATAACCGGAAAAAGCCTACAATAACTAGATAGGAAAGTCATGTGTTGGACACATCAGATTTTTTACATTATTTATCTAAAATGGACCGTAATAGAAAAACTGGAGGAAAAGTGTAAAATTAAATTTTTTCAGTGTTTTCATTTGCAGTGAATATATATCGAAAAATGTTTCGAGTTAGATGTATGTAAATGTATATATTTAGTTTATCCTTTAAACATTTACAGAGTTGCTGCAATAGGTTGTACAAAATAATCAAGAAAAGCCTGTAATAACTAAATAGGAAAGTCCAGATTTTCAGCATTCTCTTCTTCCATAATATGTGGTAATTCAGGAGCAATATTGTTGAGTGGATCTTCAGGAATTAATGCTGGTATGTCCATGGACTGTTTCCTGAAAAAATATAAAATATAACAAATTTTCCCTCTATTTGAGTACACAACAATATCTACATGCCTAAACGGTTAACATAAAAAATAACTTACCTAGTTTTCCAAAGTTCTTGACGTCTTTTTGACCTTTGATTGCGTTTTTTTTGACGAGAAGTCGTTGGTTTCGAGTGTCGTCCCATATTTGGCACCTAAAAGAATATCATATACAATTTAATCCAAATAAATGAATACATATTCTTGTCATGAAGTACCTAACATGTTGCACACAAGGCTAAAAATTTGTAGATTTATAAATTTCATACCAGTTGAATAATAGACTGAGCGCCCATATATTTGCCAATGGCTTTAAAAATTACAAATACCTAACGTAACTACTAGTAAAATACTCACTACCCACATGAATAAAATGAAGTTCAATAAACTAACTCATGGCTATGTAACCTACCGCACCCAGGTACCTTAATAATTTATTAATTCCATTTATTAAATACAATATTACATTCTTTTAAATTCAAAATGCTTCATTTAACGAAAAATCTCCCAGATAATTAAATCTTATTTACGACACCTAATAAATAATATCTATAACCACGTCCGTAAAAGATGCACGTGGCTGAGTTCCTCGAGAAAGAAAACACCATAAAGTGTATTTCTGTTTACGAAGTAATTATCATTAAAACACTTAAGTCGCTTATTTTCCTAGTTTCGATGTTCAGACCGATATCGACAATATTTCGATACACAAAACTTTCAAGGCAAGTAATAAATAACCCACCCCCTTTTGCACCTACATTCGTATTTTCTATGAAAAGCAAAACGATAGAGACGTCACAGAAACGATTAAACGGTGTATAAAAAGTCTGACGAAAATGAGCTCGGAGGCATTCAATTTTTATCATTTGATGTGCAAGCATACATTTTATTATCTGTACCCAGTTATATAATCTGTACCTTTCCTAAACGCTCCTCCTAAACGACGTCTATCCTACAATACCTCCTATCCCCGACGGTGTCAACGTCTCGACGCTCAACTTCCTGCCATCCTACTCCCTACGTCTCGAACGCTGTCACATTCCTCACCATCTAAGTATTTCCTACCGTATACTAATTTCGACGCTCAACGTCCCACGCCTTATTTCCGACGCTTTGCCGTCCATAATTATTTCCTTCATAATATCACGTCCCGCATCACCTACTTAATTCTACCGTATATCTGTCCCAATACAGTACCGTATTAAATACCTTCCCTTCCATCACGACGCTAGACGTCTCGACGATGGACGCCTCGACGCCCAACCCTGCGACGTACCTACATCGACGCCTTCCACGACGCTAGATGAAATTAGTACATAATTTAATGTCTGTATTTTCAATGGTGAGTCAAAAGATTTAGTAACCTTCTTTGAGATACCACCCCGGTTTCGTTTAAGGGCGGCTTGACATTTGCTGTAAAATATTATCAATTTAACCAATAAACCACATGGCCTTCAGGTCATACACCCCGAAAGATAGGATAACATCTGTTTTGGATGGGTGAAATTTGGAATATTTTAATAGAAATAATAAAAATCAATATTAAGAAATATACAGGGTTATATTAAGTTATTTCAATAGAAATTATAATAATCAATATTAAAATACATACAGGGTTGTATTAAGTCATATCAATAGAAATTATAAAGATCAATATTTTGGAAATATACAGGGTTGTGCTATCTTGGATAAATTGTACAAACCAAGATGGTAAAATTTAATAGTAAGTTAACCAACTGGCGAATACGCTGTTCGTTAACTCAAGGGGGGACACCTATACGCTAAGCAACCCGTTCTACAAGGTTTGAAACAAAGTATATGTGAAATCAACATAGTAAGGTAATCAACTGGCGAATTGGCGCTGTTTGTTACTTCCGTTGGTCACACCTCTATACTCATCGTAATATTTACCTAAGAGGGTGCAACCTGTATATATCTACAATAGAATCAAATCAACATCAACTCAATAGTTAATCAACTGGCGAATTGGCGCTGTTCGTTAACTTCGTGGGTCATCAACCTAAATCAGCATATAAACAACAACACTATAGTAAATCAACTGGCGAATTGACGCTGTTTGTTAACTCTGTTGGTCATCAACCTAAATAGAATATATATTGATAGCAAATGAATATGGTCTGCGTTTGAACGGGACTCAAGTGAGATCTCAGTAAATAGTAACAATTGTAAAATACTTTGCTAATTATTGCATCACATTTAAAGTATGAAAAATAAAAAGAGTTTAAATATAAATTTGTATGTTTTATTTATCAATTTGCACCAAACTTTGCATCGAATTCTGGTTTACTTTAATTAACATTATCACAACGTGGGTACATAAAATATCAATTAATTAACTAGACGATCACTTCTACTACTAGAGGAAAAAGGCCAAATTACAGTAAGTATAGAATTTAAAGTAAAACTTGTGAGGTAAATAATAACATTTCAAAGAGAGTAAAGTAAAATACAAGAAGAACAAATCAAAAGAAGAGGGGGCCTGGGGGCGGGCCGTCACAGCTATAAAAATAACTACAGATACCTAACCCAACTACTAGTAAAATAATTAGGTATAATACTCACCACACACTAGAACAAAACTTGGCAAACAGGCAGGTATAATTCAACATTTGAATTATTTCGCAGAAGTGCATCTAATCGCCATCTATTGACAACTTAGTTAATTTGTAGTTTTTGTTATGAATTTCCTGGCGTGCAAATTCCGTCTTAAAAGCATAAAATTGACCTTGAACCCCTGTCAAATATGTTTTTTAGCTTTTTGTTAGGTTAAGTGTTTGTTTATAAATATATAGTTATTATTCAAAGGAGATGAGAGTTTTGTTATTAAAACTGCAACGAAAGTTGTAAATAATTTTCATATGCTGGTTGGAAAGGTGAGTTTATTCTATCTATTCAGGTTGAACTTGTCTGATAATTTAATCTCTCATCATTAAACAGTGTAATTGTTGAGTAAAGTTTGTTTTTTGTAATGCAGCTAAGCATGAGTGTGCTTATGTGCTATTGCAAATAATAGACATTTTGGGATGATACATCTACTATTATTACTAATGACATGATATTTTTATCTATTAGAATTTCAGAATTTTTTTTATTTTTTAAAGTACATAAATATAGGTATTGAGACAACAATGAGACAATATGATATTAGCAAACTAGCTAAATAAAGGAAATAATAATAACATCTAAGGGTGAAAACAAACAAACAGAGAATTAGAAAATTGGATTAAAACAATTCCTCTCCGAGAAGGACTCGAACCTACGCTGTTTGGGTTGCCGTATCAACATCATCATTGAACACCACATACGTCCAGCATCCTATAATTAAACAGGGCAAAAGGTGATTTATACCGCAAATCTGCCAATTAGAATTTTTTTAGTCGAAAATAAAACTCAGATGCAAAAATATTACAGGGTGATATTCAGTTTCAAGTATATCGTTTTCAATAAAATTTTATTGTTTAATTTATTTATTACATGTTTGTAAGTATAGCGTGCAATTAGAAGCTTTTTTCACCATTTTAATCGCTTGTGTTCTTGATAACTGCAAAAAATGAGTAAGATGCCTTCAGTATCTAAAAGAAAAGTCTTATGAAATACTTGTATTTGAATTTTTTCTATTTTAATTCTTATATTTCTCAAAAAATATTTTATGGTTTTCTATTTATCGAAATTTTTCCGTATTTGGAGCTCTTCAGGCAGAGGTCATTTCGAATCAGACACACCTTGCAGAATAATGAATAATTCCTTGATGAAACAAATACATGATTAATATTCACTAGATTAATTCAATCAATTAAGTCAGTGACGGCTGGTGCATAAGTGTTGCAGTGCTACAGAGCTCCCAAAAAAATGCTGAATGCATAATCTAACTCAAATATTTCCTATTACCAAAAAGAATATTATATTCGTATTGTAATAATGATTAAAAAAACTACCGACAAAGTGCCTGCATCGCTGGCGTCCGTATACGTAAAGTTGTCCAGTGGAATAACCTACCTACAGACACACACGCTTGCACAGGCTGTCGCTGAACTATTATTTATGCGGCTACCCATGCGCCCACAGTTAAAACAAACCGGTAAATATACATACGAAGAAAAGCTGAAATTAAAAGCAAAAGGTAGGCCATTACCAGATATAATTATAGAAAAAACTGGTGTAAGTAGAGGAAAAAGTTACACACGAAAAGTTAATAGTTTATTCAATAAACGAATGGATCTGTGGATACAACAAAAAAAAAATGTTCTATACTGTTTTCCTTGTTTACTTTTTGGTGGCGATAAAGCTTGTATGAAAATAGGAGTCAGCGATCTAGAGCACTTATGTTTAAAGATAAAAAAAACACGAAAACTCTAAAAGCCATCTTCATAATTGCATGGAATTTGCGTTACTAGGGATAACTAATATTATGGCTCAATTAGATTCTGCTTATTGGTTAAATATAGAGAGACATAATAAAAATGTGTCAAAGAATAGGTATATTTTATCCAAAATTATTAATTTTGTGGAGCTCTTGAACTGGCTCTTCGGATACATGATGAGAGCGATTCTTCCTAGAATCCGGGGATATTTCATGAACTCATAAATTTCTCGGCTGAATTAGATGCAACTCTAAGTGACTACCTAAAAAATTCTTCGGTATTTAAAGGCACCTCCAAAGAAATACAAAACGATCTGTTACAATGTATGCTTCGATGTCTGTCATGAACAAATAATTGAGGAAATAAATAATTCTCCATTTTTGGAGATCATGGCGGACGACACAACGGATGTTGCTACAAAAACTCAACTGGCAGTTATATTTAGGTATGTTCGCAATGGTGAGCCAATTGAACGTTTTTGGAACTACTTAATTCCTGAAAAATGTGATACAGAAACACTTAGTAAAACAATTTTAACGGTTATAGATTCTTTAATTCAAAATTCACTGAACAAACTGATTGCACAAAGTTATGATGAGAGGCCAACATGCAGGAGTTCAAGCATTAATGAAAAAAAAAGTATCCTTATGCTTACTATGTACTTTGCTATGCCCATCAGTTAAATTTAATTATGTCTAAAGCTGCTTCTGAAAATTCGCAAGTACGTGTATTTTTTGGAAATTTACAAGACACCCCAGCGAGTAGAAGTCTTGAACGAGATTGTGAAGAGAAGGATCGATCCCCACGGCGCTACAACCCGTTGGAATTTTAATATAGGGACCATTATTGTTGTGTACGAAAATAGAGCGTCTCTCATTGAGTGTATATGTGTTAAGGGTAAAGTTAGATTGACAAGTAAACCTAGGTTTACCCGGGTAAACTTCGAAATACCCAGGAAACATGGGTAAAGTACGAAATTCAACTAACATTATATATATTTCGGACTTTACCCAGGTAAACCGCATTCTATCCGATTTCGTTTGGTTAAAGTTGGGTGTAGGAATTATTATTGCGTCATCTTTCGCCACGTGCAGTCAGTTCGAAAATGGCAACCGAAGAAAGCGGTCGCGCGCGTTTAATACAGCGTTTTCAATGAGTTGGTGTCTTCTAAAAATGTAAACAGTTTTTATTTTAGTAAGGGCCAGTACCAAGAAATGTTAGAATCAGTCAAGTTGGCAAAAAATGCTAAAACCAAGACTTCTTTACAATATCGACGTTTGAAGCGATTTGACATATATTCTGTTAGAGGTGTTGAAAAGCTTATCGCTCATGTGTCATCAGGTGAATCGAGCATAAGATATTACGTTACAAACGACGAAACGTTTGATATTTTGCATGATGCACATTTGGCCATTGGACATAATGGTAAACATCGCATGGAAAGTGAACGTAAAAAAAAGTACAAGAATATAACTCAAGATGTTATTAAATTATATCTCCGCTTGTGTGAAAGTTGCCAAAAGAAAGTAAAATCTGCCAAGAAAGGACTTGTGGTTAAACCAATGGTGTTTTCGGAGATGAACAGCCGTTGTCAAGTTGGCCTGATTGATATGCAATCCCATGCAGATGGAGAATACAAATTTATCATGGTCTATCAAGACCACTTGACAAAATTTGTTCAAATACGTGCATTAAAATCGAAAAGAGCAGAGGAAGTTGCTAAGAACCTGATAGACATATTTTGCATTTTTGGCGCCCCATCTATACTACAATCGGACAACGGGCGGGAATTTGCAAACCGTGTCATTGAAGAATTATGTTTCATGTGTTATGTTATGTGGAGTGGCCTTAAAATAGTACATGGCAAACCGCGCCACAGTCAGTCACAAAGCAGCGTGAAAAGAGCAAATCAAGATATACAAAATATGCTCATGACGTGGATGGACGATGAAAACTGCAGACGATGGTCAGAAGATCTGAAATTTGTTCAGTTAATAAAAAATAGGGCATACCATGATGGAATTAAGCGAGCTCCTTATGTCGCCATGTTTGGGCATGATATTAAAGTCGGCCTATCAACCTCAGCTTTTCCAAAAAAAACTATTGAAAATCTACGCCCCGAAGAAGAGCTTGAGAGGATTGTCAGGGAGTTTGGTGTGGGTGAACAGCCTCAAAAACATGAACAAAATGAAGACCAGCCTATGGATAATGACCCAGAAATAGATATCTCGCAAGAAGAAGATATTACTGAAAGTGACAACTTGCACAAAAATATTATTGTAGGTGAAAATATAGAAGAAAATGTGGATAATAATAATAGAGGAAACGCCAGTAATATAGAAACTTTAGAAAATCAGACCAAATGTGCAAAATGTGATGAGCTATGTACATCTGCCAGTATAATGTGTGAACTTTGCTTGTACCAAAGGAACATACAGTCAAATAGGCAGGACGCAAAAAGAAATTTAGAAAATCAAGCAAAGAAGATGAAAGCCTTAACTAATTTAAAATTCCCTCCATGTTCCGTTGGAGATACAGTCAGAGTGAAAGTTCCAAACGTTGATCGAGGAAGGGGTGATTTTAGAAACATTCTCATGATAGTTATCGAAAAAAACCGACGATAATTTTTATAAACTATCTAACAAGACAGGAACTATCGAGGAAATGTTTTCCAGGAATCAATTTTCTGTATGTAGTGAGAAACTTGTAGATCTGGAAAATTTATCACCGGAAAAGAAAAGTTTGCGAAAAATTGGAAATAGAAACTTTTAGGAGGTTAAGGTTATAAACGTTGCAACTATAAAGCTAAATGCGTGACCAATAAATGTAAATGTAAAGCAATAGAAAATCTTTGTAACTCTAAATGTCACGGCAGCTTGTGTTGCTTAAATAAATAGATTATAGTATTCTTTACTTTGACAGGACATAGTCTTAGAGTTTTTAATTTTATTTATGAAATGTGTTGTTTTCAAATAAATATGTTTTTTAAACATTTATGACCTTGTTGTTTTTGTTACACCTAACTTCCTGAGCCGTTCTGCGGTATCAGCAGTAACATAATATTAGAAGAGATTAAAAAAGAATTGGGTAGTAGAAGAACCGATAATTGGAACAATCTCTTGGGGCTGAGACAGGCCAAGATACTTCTGGGTGAATATAACCAAAAAAGATCGGAAGCCTGCATCTGCCTGAGCAAGAACAGGCTACGTATTGTAACAGGGATCCTTACCGGGCACTGCCGACTAAAAGGACACCTAAGTAAACAGAGTAGTAGAGGATAGTGAGTGCAGATTCTGTGAGGAGGAGGACGAAACCTCCATTCACATCCTAACTGAATGTGTTGCACTCCAGAATCCAAGGGCATTATATCTAGGAGGATATCAAATAGAAGAGGGAGACTTACCTAACTTGAAGCTACTTCAAATCCTACACTTCCTTGAGAAAATAGGATTGGAAGGGTCGCTATAGGCATTGAGACATTTCCTTAGTGCAGTGGCGACAGAAGGGGGCACAATAGATCTTTTAGGTCGCAGTGTATTAACACTCCATTATCAACATAACATAACATACACCTAACTTTAACCAAACGAAACTGGATAGAACGCGGTTTACCCGGGTAAAGCCCGAAATATGTATAATGTAAGTTATATTTCGTACTTCACCCACATTTTCTGGGTATTTCGCAGTTTACCCGGATAAACCTAAGTTTACCAGTTGATCTAACTTTACCCGTAACATATGCATGAAATAGAAGAACAATTAAGTGTAAGGGGTTAAAGAAAAGGTCCTTCATTTCTCACAAGTCAATTTAATTGGCGACCGGTTTCGAAGCTGTCACTTCATCATCAGGCACACCTAAATGGAATGTCAAGGAGTGAGTTGTAATAAAAAACAATTATAAAAGCATGAACGGACTTTAACATATACAAAATAACAGAAAAAACACAAAAGAAAGTTAAACAATAACCTTAACTCACCTTGACTATTTCCATAAAGGAAGCGCTACATAAAGTTTAACAAAACGAGTTAAAAAAGTCATATGTAATACAATAGTATTTTTTAAAAAATATTTTAGGTTAGGTTAAACCGCGAGATGTCTGTTTGAATAAATTAATTAAAACACATGTAAGACAATTATTAACTAAACAACACAAAATAGTTTTTACAAGCACAAACAGTTTAAAAATTTTTAAGGATATAACGTCAATTAATGAAAGTAAAAAGTAAAAAAGTAAAAAGTAAAATTATCAGACTCTCAAGACATCTATCTAGATTTCTAACGAATCAAAAAATCCCCTTACACTTAATCCCTACTACTTACATATGGCTACCCTCACTCCAAAAAAAAAAAAGAAGAACAATTCACCAACAACACAGCCTGTAGTGCAGCCGCCTCTATTCGCCGTACATTAAATAATCCGATCTTTAATTTTTGGATGACTTTTTTCATCACGTGCTGCCCCACGTAGATATCCTATTTAATTAACTACAGCAAAGAAAAATTGAACCCACTATAATAAAAGACACTATTGATAATTTTGAACGCAGTATTACTCAAGTTCGAAATAATATTGATAGCGTCATTACTAAAGCATTAGATATAATAAGCGATCAGCCACCAGAAAATAAACGCAAGCGCCCAGGGTACCTATTCTTGAATCTCAGGGAGTAGAAATTTTGAGGGAAGAATGAGACCAAAATACAAATTTTGTGCGTTGCAGATAAAGAGGAAAAACCGATTTTACTACTCCCTCGAATTCAAGAATAGCTACCCTCAGGTAACAGCAGATTTGATTACCGGATTTCTGCTTTAGAGGTGTGTGACGTTATGATTTGATTTTAAAGACCCTCCAGTAGTTGCCTTACTATTTTTTTTTTCTGAATGCTTTGGAGAGTATTGTAGTAAATTTCCCGTGGATAAACTCACTTCCGCATACTCTTTTTATCCCTCACTTGACAAGGAACGATTGCTAACTGAACTGTCTGTTATTTATTCAAGAAATGATTGCAGGACATTGAATGGTGCACTACCTCTACTAAAATTTTTAATATCAAACAATCTAAAAGATACGTTAAAGGAGACTAGAAAATTATTAGAAATCGTGGTAACAACTCCTATGATAACATCAGAGGCCGAACGATGGTTTTCAACACTAAATCAAATTAAAACGTTTCTCAGAAATTCAATGACCGAAGATCGCTTAACAGCTCCTTCCATGCTATTTATTGAAAAAAGTTTACTTCCGAAATAGACAATTTTAATAAAAAAGTTATTACAAAATTTGAGAACCAAAAAGAACATAGGATAGACTTAATTTATAAAAAATAGACTGTAATATCGCACTATCTGTTTAAATTGTTCACGTCATTTTTTTTAAACATTTTGTATTTGGCTTGAAGAAAATAGAGTACAGTTAAATAGTGCTTGGTGATTTTTTTTTGTGGCAATCGTTCCAGCAATCCATCATTTAATAAGCATGATAAAATCGATGGGACTTTGAATAAGAAGACCAACCCCCCTAAGAGGTAAGCTTTTTTTTGCAAATTTTTACCACGAGCTTTCACTCAATTTAGTGTTGTAAATGATCCATTTATAGTTCGATAGTGGTTTGTGTTTTTTTGTTTAAGATTTTACGTATTGTGTTTTGGATACTTTGGAATTTTATCGTCACATTGATCGTTTTGTAGCGTCTCCAAGTCATTTTGTAGCTTCTACTAGATTGTTTTTTAAAGTCCCCTCGGTCGTTTTGTAGCGTCCCCTAGATCGTTATGTATCGTCCCTCATACCATTTTGTATTATTCTTCCGGTCGATTCGTAGTGTCCTTCATATCGTTTGGCAACAACCCTATATCGTTTTGTAGCTTCTCATAGGTCGTTTTGTACCATCGTACATTTCCTTGGAAAATGTAGCAGACTTAAAAATAATTTACTTTGGATACTATAAAAGACGATAATTTAATAAATATTACTTTAGAGAACCAAAATAGAAAAAAAAAATTATTGATATAAACAAATAATAAATATAAATCTATGACGTATTGATATTATTAACGTACCGCTACGAATGTAGGTAAAGTGAGTGGTGCGAATTTTCCTGCTGTAAGATAAAGGGGTCGTTTCGATCTGACCATGCTCAGAACCATGGAATTTTTAAAATCCTTGTCGGCCGTTAACCAATCGCATTGCCAGATGTAGAAGGGCATGTTGCCGGCCTAAAATCAAATTGTGAGACAATTGACGTATTACGCAAGTAGTATCGCCACAGCTTATTTATATCCAGCTAAAACACTCTCGGCGGCACTTTTGATCTCGTGGTCTGCGATCAAGCGAGGTAGAAGCGTTGCTTTCTCTGTTGCACAAGAGGGAAAAGTCAGAGCCGGATTATAACAATTATTTATTGAAGTACAATGTTTAATTTCTGCCTGACAGTACCGTAGTAGGTAATTTTAAATTTTATTGGATTATATTTTTTGAATCTATATTGTAATATTACGATAAAATTAGGTATGGAGTTAATAAGGGTTGTTGAAAAATACATTAAAATTATTCTGAAAAATAATACATTTTCGTTATTATAGATTAAAAGAACTTGTGTGGGCAGAAAAAGGGCGATTTATAAAATTGTCAGAATAATTACGATAATGGGGTGTTTGTTATCTTACGAAAAAAATAGTGATTTATAATAGTCGTTGATGTTGGTTGTTCAAGATTATGATTTATTTTTAGGTTTTCCTCCTGAATGCTATGTCATTGTTAACGTCCTTTCTCAGCTTTGCGAAATTCGGCTTTTTGCATCCGAATTTTAATATTCGACAAACTTGCAATTTGGCATTTACGGCTTAAAATTTTCAAATTGTGAGTATGTCAAATAATTAAATTCGGATGCAAAAATCTTATTTGGCCTAACTGAAAAAGAACCTTAGACATTATTGCTTTTGACAGTCGCACGGTGATTTTTAGGGAAAAGACAAAAATGGTAATAAAATAAAGTTGTGTAGCTTAGGTTTTAAATAGGTTTTATTACTAAATAATTAAAAAAAATCAAATTAAAAATTTACTTATACCGTTATACCTACGTATATATAACGTATATTATATATATAATAACAAATTATAATACATTTTGTACTATATCATTACAAATTTCTCCATATTATAAGTTTATTTCTATTTACATTTCTAAAATTACCATTTATCGTTTTCAATGTGTAATATATTGTAACTCTTAAATATAATCTAACTACAAATTCTTTGGGGAAATATTTACAGGGATGGTTAAAAGCTAAATGGTTACTTATATCTAAAAGCATTTGGCAAATATTCCTTTTAGTAGCAAATTTTTCAAAGTTTTCTTGAAATATTTGTTCTATTTTACAAATTAATTCCACAAATTTATTATTAGGCATTTGCAAATTTCCGAAGGTGTCCTTATTTGCATTTTCATATGCCTTAAGGAAACAGTAATAAGATGAATCATCTAGTTCATCATGGTCTTTACTATATTTATTGCATATATCACAAGTGTGAACTCTTAAAGCTTTATTTAAAAGGTACCCACACACGTACCGTATGAAATTTTTTTGCAGCATTTCATTATTTGAATAGTCCATGCTATTTAGTGCGTCTCTTTGTTCCGATACTTTATCCTTATCCTCAGGTACAAAATCCTGTTGGCAGTCAGAAAGTCTTAAGAGCATCTGATCAGAATCAGCCTCACAGTTTTCTGTACCTGAGTTAAGCAAGTTGACGCATTGCAACTTTCTAAATGTTCTATGGAACTGTATGGCTGTGGGGTTAATGCAGTTACCGCTTTCACTTCTTATTTTACCGAAATGATTCTCCAGGCAGTCTTGGTTTAATCTTCGTGTAAGTATATACTCAAACCCAGCATTTTCTCGAAGATAGTAAAATAATTGAATAATACTGTTGATTGAAATTATTAAGCTTTTAATAAATTTTATTTTGTTGGCAACGTTTATATTATTTTTGTCTCGAATTTCAAGACTTTTAAAAAAGGACAAGCAATCCATTAAAAACTCTAATTGAAATGAGTTTGCTTTAAAGGCAGCATTATATTTTTTTGAGGCAGAGGTTTGCGAAGAATTTAAAATATCAAAGAGTTGATCTACTCTATTAACAAATTCAGCAGTTTCTGTCGCTTCCGAGGGAAGGGAACCAAATCCTATATAAAAACTCATACCTACATGGACTGAGTAACTAAATACTTGGGTGGCAAGTTTGACCTTCATTTTTTGGAAACTAGTCGGGTAAATATGAGAATCGGTTAATTTGTGTGCTGCTTTAACAGGAAATTTTTTATCTAATTCATAGAAGTCTTTAATATATTGCCACGAAATTTTTTTACAATTAACATAAAAGTCATATTTCATTAACATATTTCTCATCGCTTTAATAATATGTGGCACATCAAAGATGAAAAAGAGATACCGGTTTTCTAAATAAAAACCAGTATTGTCTGGAGATATCTTTAAAATATTTGACAATTTGATATTGTTGGACCCCATATCACAAGTAACTGCACAAACATTTAACCCCACATTTGTTGTTTTTTGCACAGCTTCATTTAATAGTTTATGTAATAGATTAGCAGAACAAGAAGTATGACATAAAAAGTAGGCTATCGGCTGTTTCCATTTCGAATAAATTCCCCTTACCATAAGTACACTGACAGTTAAAGTTGGTTTAAAAATCTTTTCCCCTGTATCGCCCATTGCTAGCCCTATGATGTCATCTTGATTTCGTTCATAAAATAAATTTGCTTTTATTGACATTTCATCGAAGCACAATAAACAATATTTGTTTTGAGACTGGAAACTGTCAACTTTTTTTTTAATAAAATGAAGAACTCGGGATTATCTAATCCTGGTCCTATCTTAACTGCTCTGATTTCTTTTAGCAAAGTGTTAGGCGAGGGAAGGCTATATTTAGACATTAAATATTTTTTATAAACTCTGGGACCAGCAAAATATATTGATAATTTTAAATTCTTTGCTGTAACGTCTTCCCTTTGGATGTTTATGCCCCTGTGATACTTGCATATTAACACATTTTGCAATGTCTGGATTGCAAAATTTATATGTTAGGGACATATATTGCTCCAAAGATATATTGTCCAATTCATTATTTTTTTCAAGTACCTCAACCCTTTGTCGTAAATATTTGTTTTCGGCAGTTATGGACTTGATATGCTGCCTGTATTTAACTTTTCTTGGTGTATCGAAGGATAAACTGGCTGACGTTTGGGTAAATGTTGGAGACGTCAGAGGAGGACTGTCTGTAATTGGACTCAGGGCGATCTCATGTTGAACCTCGATTTTGAGCTCGGTTTTAACTAGATTTGTCTGGTTAGCTGCAAAAATACATTTTATTTAAACTTTAAATAACAACTTAGATGAATAAGTATAAAGAACGATTTATTTGCTTAAAAATGATTTTTTTTTATTTAGGGCGGATCAAAAGCTATAACAAAATTTTACAGCTAAAGATAATCATGTGATTATTAGCTTGTTTTAAAAAGTTAAAAAATAAAAAAGTTGTAGTCTTTTAAAAGTGGAACAAATTAGGTTCACCCCTCGCTTCACCCTGTATATAAAACATTATATTTAATTTTAAGTAAAACACTATTATTTTTAGTACCTGAATCAAATAGTGCAGGTGTGATAGGTGGAGCTATCAGTCTGTCATCTAGAACTCGTATTTTCGCAGGAAGTTGCAAGAGCGGTGCACTATACGTATGGTCTTCAGTTGTGGAACTCCCCTAGAGGGACGGGAATAGGGTAGGAATTGCAATGGCTACTAATGTTGTACGAAAGTGACTCCTGAACATCTTCTCTTCAAAGTGGTCTTCACATATCGAGTAACTTTTATATAATTCGATTAGTTTTTCAAATAGGTCCTCTCGATTGGCTTTCATTGCCCATGTTCTAGCTCTGTAAATATTTAAATATATTTTTAAACAATGCTATATAGGTATTGTAAACGCCAAATCTGAAGAACCAGCGCAAATGCTCAAGTTCGTTTACTTAAAAATCGCCACGCCCATTCACAATTTGAACCTTGTCCTTGCTTACGGTCAGTAGCGTAACGACATTGTTTGTTTCTTGTTTCTGTGTTTTGGTTAAAGTGACTGGTTTTATTTTTAATAATGTCTTCTATTGTGGGTGAAAAAAAGCGCAGATTTGTTATTAACGAACAAAGTCGTGAAGTAATATACAATGTTTTTAAATATTTTGACGCAACAAAAAAGGAAGGAGTTACTTTAGATGATATCAAACTTCAAACTGCACAAGCAACAGGTAAACATACCCTGTAGATTATTTGGAATTAAACTTGTGTAGTTTTCCATATTTTTTTGTATTTTACACACATATCTGTGCATTTTATTTTTTATTAATATTTTATATTTAAATTTTTTAAATTTATCTTCTGTTTCTAAAAAAATTTGTTTCCTAATAAATGTAAAAAAAATACTAAATTTAATATTAATATAATATTACGGTCTTTACTTGATGCAAATCCATATTATTAAAATGAGAAAAACCAAACATGGTAGATTTTCACATTTTTATTTAAAGAAATAAAAATAAAAAATTGCACGACAATTGTTTCTAAGTACAACTTCTTCTTCAAATGTAACTCATTTACATTTCTAATATATATCCAAAATAAACTAATTAGTTAAAATAGGTACTTAAGAGAAATATATTAATAAATTCCATTAAAATATCATTACCGGGATTATCTCACAGAAAACTAAGAACAGGTAAAGAGATTTAATTAGGCTACTTATTAATATCTAATTGATCACTTAAGAGGATATTTAAATTTTTAAATCAATTTATTTCAAGTGTTTCTAAATGGTTTAATTTAATGCCTTTATTATCAAAATGTGAAAATTTTTGCATAAACGATTGATTTTCAGAAAAAAATATGTTTTGTAAAATTATTTTTGTTTTTAGTATAACTATTGTAATGTTTTAAATAGCTTTTTTTTAAACTACGGCCCGTTTGACCAATATACAATTTTTCCACAATTTAATTAATTTGAAAAAGGATAATTTCCTGACCGTAACAGAATTTTATATAAATACCGAACGGAAAGCGGTAGAACAGCCTTAACCTAAAGTCGGTTTACCTAAAAATAATAATTTTTTTAATTGACTATAGAATTATGTACTAATAATAACACTAAGCAATATGTATGAACAAGTATCATTTACTATTTTCCATTTATTTTATGTCTTAAAATATACGGACCTCTGGTTTACAACTTTCTAGGTAAGCTACCAATTCTATTCATCCGTAGGCGTGTTAGTAGCATTATAAATGCGCATCCTTGGTTCTTTAGATCTGGCGCATACTGTATCTATTTGCTTCCAATTAATATTTGTTGATATACATATTTTATTATTTCGATTTGCAAAAATATTAAACAAAACCACCAATAAACCCTCTTTTACCTTAACAAGTATTAAATTAATAACTATATATTTATACAGGCCAAACATAGCTTCTCATAATTAAAGAAGATTTTGTATGACTTTAAATTACTTTTACTTCAACATAGCAAATAATCGAAAGTTTACTTTTCATCAAAATATGCAAAAAATATCGTGTAGGTAAGTACTTACCGGTTAGCATCCTTAGGAAAACAATAGAATTTCTTCTTACAATTATAACCTTTATTAAAACAATTTCGCACTGCACAAACATGATGATGTCCTGATAGTTTTTTGTCACTCATTTTACTACAGTAAAAAATAAACATAAAACACAAATGTTGAAAAGAATTACAAATTAAACACAAAAATATACGCACGGCTATGTCCGCTTAACGTAGAATAAGTAATACCGATCTCCCGACTGCACGGCAAAGACATCTTTTCCCCGAAAAGGCGGAGCATAAAACCTGCGCGAAGGGATCGACGCAAACCGTTCCCGCCAAGAGAGTGTTCTAGCTGGATATGAATAAGCTGTGGTATCGCTGCTAGTGTTACCTATAAATGTTTAATTAATATTTGAGGACTTAAGTACCTTGAGTGTAACTTCGTTACCAAACCAACAGTACAGTGTTAACTGAAAACCCATGGCGATCAGGTAAACTATCTCTGCTAGAAATTGCTTGCTCCCAAAAGGCGTCTGAAAAATAGTTAGGCATACTAGATCTTAAAACATTTCTAACAGTTAACAAATTACAAATTCTTACCGACGAAACCAAATATAAACAAGAACAAATTATAAATAGTGTTGCCACAGTTTGAGCAAGGGTTAAAAATTTATGCACGTCTTCTAATTTCTGGCACACCCTAAAACAACGTAAATATCATTAATCGAATAAAATCAACAAATATTGAAATGATTTACTTGTACACAGTCTGAAGATGTATACTGATCTTTTTCATTTCAATTTTTAAATTTTGGTTTAGATTCTCGGTATTGTACAGCTTGTCGGGAGTCAGCAAAGGCCCCTCGGTTTTGTTAACGGCTCTGTTTCTTATAGACAAAAAAGCGCCCTGTATTATTTCCAAATTCATTCCCACGCAGTTCATAATGTTCATGAACAATGTGTCCATACCAACAATACTGTAAATTAAAAAATATACTCTTTAATCCTACCATCTATCAGGCACGGTGAAATTTAGTACTAATGTGACATTTGACAGTGACATTCGACAGATGACATTGACAAATAAAGTTAAGACAGCGTCTTCTAGCAGTAAAACTTCGGTCAATTTTTTCACCTCTGAATAAAGTTGAAAGTTACTACTTACTGATAGGCTATGAGTTATAATTCGCTCATCTGTAAAGTAGCCCTATACGTAACTTTACTTAGAGGTGAAAATCAGCCCTGAGATTAATTCTATATGTATTAATCCTTACCAGATTTATGGATAGGGCTATACCATCAGTTAATCCTTACCTGTAGGCATAAGAAAACATAGGAATAGCCTGATAACCTAAAGCTATCAAATACGTGCCGGCTGTATCAAATTTGAAAGGCATCCAACTGTAATACGGCAACCTGTCAGGCAACACACTTTTCGGATCGTTTTCGTCATATTTGAAAGCCGCTAATGTAGGAGGCAAGTAAGATGACGTCAGAGTAGCGTGCGCCATCATGAAAAATATAACAGTGTATTTTATACCGATTGTTTTGTACTGTTTCGAAGTTCGACCTGGGTAGAAGTTCTTTTCTTCGCAACTGTCATAATGAAGATCTCGACTCTCCAAAGTTTCCATTATTGTTTTGAGGTTGTGGCCTTGGAAGTAGAAGAAAACTACCTGAAACATTTTTTTTGTGTTAACTTTATATGGGATTTGATTATGTATTTTCGAAAACAGTTTGTAAAGCAACTTTATTAAACATAATATATTGATGTTAAATTTTGTTTTAGGATAACAGGGATACTAAATAATTAATATCAGCACGTCATTGTAAATAAATGTGGTAATGGAATAAATATAGGGTCAAAAATAGATTAACAGAAATAACTAAAACCACCAAAGGTTATGCATACGGCTGTGAAGTAGACATCCAATATGTGTGGAGACCACTATTAGGGAGAAAATTTACTTTGCAATAACTTAACTGACAACGTGTCTGGATACAACACTTACAAAAGATTTCCATAAAAAGCATTGCCAACTTTTGTATTAAATAAATTAATTAAAAATTAATTCTGAAGCAGAGGTATGATTCCCCACTCGACCGTTTACTATTGGGGTCTAATTAACAGTATTATTCCTAATGTGGCGCTGTGAAACAGTAACAAAGCCTATACACCTATACAAGCCTGCATATCCCTGGCAACTGACGCCTCAAATCAAAAACATTGGTGGCAACAACAACAGCACATTGTTTGACATTTCGTAAATTGATCCCATGATAATGGCAGGGTAATCGACGCAGTTTTGATGCACCACATACTTTGATTACTATACGGTGCAAGAGGGACGTTCGACACGTCCAACATAGGGCGCGGCCATTTTGATGCAATTACTACTAGGATAGGCAACACATTTTTTCAAAATGTTAAACTGGTAGCCTACATTTTGGTATTTTGAGATTTTATATGAAGGCAACAAATGTAGACGAAACGTCTATTTTAAATAATATACAAAAAACTTCTTTGAAGTAAAGTTATAATTGTGCATCTTGAAATAGAGGTGAGTGGTTTTAAATTATTTCTAAAGCTGTTTATATGATTTTACCTTAATAATACAGGGTGATTTTTTGAAAAGGATCCACCCTCGATAACTTCGTTCTCGTCTTGATTTAAGTAAAATACAAAAACAGGTCAATTTTTATCCTTAGGAGGACACATTTTTAGATCACAACTAATTTTGTCGGATCAACCCTATGGCCCCACCAGCCCCTACCTCAAAAACCTTCAATATTAAGGGGGCCGAGTGACCCCTCGTAGGAAAGGTTTTTGCATTTACCATACGACCATGTAAGAATTATTTCGTTTTGTACAGGGTGGTTCAAGAAAAAAGACAAATAGATTTACATTTCGCTTTAATTGGTTAATTTTTGGAATAAAAATCTTATTAATTGTTTACAAAACGAGAAGAAACGGATTAGAGTGAAAGGAAGCAAAATCACAAGTGCTCAAAATAACCACCGTTATTATCCATGCAATAGTAAAGGCGGTTTTCAAATTCCTCTCTCACCCGTTGAATGGTTTCTCTAGGGATTCTTCTGCATGCGTCATTTATTCGTTGTCGCAACTCCACTAAATCTACTGGTTGAGTTTTGAAGACAACAGATTTTAGGTGCCCCCAGAGGAAAAAATCTGGTCCTGTCAAATCTGGTGACCGTGGAGGCCATTCTATTGCTCCCCGCCTGCCAATTCAATGATGCGGAAATGTCTGGTTCAGCCAGTTCCGAACATTCACAGCGAAGTGAGGTGGGGCTCCATCTTGCTGAAAAAAAAGATAATTTTCTTCAAGTACAAGATTTCCATCTTGATTTTCAACTTCAACCGTTATTAAGGGATCTATGATATCCTCCAGCAGCTCTAAATATACCTCGCCAGTCAAAGTCTCATTAATGAAAATCGGACCGACTACCGCATCGCCTAGTATTCCTGCCCATACATTTAATTTCTGAGAAGCTTGAGTATGCCCCTCTCTAAAAATGTGAGGATTCTAATCACTCCAATATCGGAAATTCTGTTGATTGACTGCGCCATGCAGATAAAAACTACATTCGTCACTAAAGCAAATGTTTTTTATGAGGTTTGGGTTTGCGTTTATCATTTCCGTCATAATTTCGCAAAACTGTAATCTCCTATCAGGATCATCGTCCACAAGCTCCTGAAGTATCTTTATTTCATAGGGATGGAATTTAAAAAGTTTTGTCACTTTGCGTACCGATGAATACGAAAGTCCAGTGGTCGTAGCAATCTGGCGCAAAGAACTGGTTGGATCGAAAGTAAAGTTCCCCACCACTTCAATCTGAGCCATTTCATTAACTATTCTGTTACCTTCTCTCTTCATAGTTTTCACCGATCCTGTTGCTTGAAACTTCCGCACAAGTTGCATGACATATTTGTGCTCCATTCGCTTATCTGGATATCTCGCATTAAAAATTCTGGCAGTGGCGCGGGCACAATTCTGCTCCTCACCATAAATGAAAATAACTTCTACCCGCTCGGCAATAGTGTTAACCATTTTACAGGAAATAAATCAATTGACATACCAACTGACTGTAAACTACTTGGATTAAATCTAATCCGTCAAAACGGCTTGTAAAGATGCATACAAAAAGAGCGATAGCGCGATATCACTCATGAACCGTCTTCAAAAACTGAAGCAAAAAATTTAAGTGAATTTACGACAGGAGATAAATTGTTGAATGAGGAAGGATTCCTATTATTCTCAAGGGTGATCATTTTAAGAATCTATTATGATGTATGTAATTTAAGTCTATTTATTGCAATTTGTCTTTTTTCTTGAACCACTCTGTACAAAACGAAATAATTCTTACATGGTCATATGGTAAATGCAAAAACCTTTCCAACGAGGGGTCACTGGGCCCGCCTTGCTATTGAAGGTTTTTGAGGTGGGGGCTGGTGGGGCCATGGGGTTGATCCGACAAAATCAGTTGTGATCTAAAAATGTGGCCCCCTAAGGATAAAAATTGACCTGTTTTTGGATTTTACCTGAATCAAGACGAGAACGAAGTTATCGAGGGTGGATCCTTTTCAAAATCACCCTGTATAATATTTTTCGCTAGTCCCATGCCCATGAACAAACATTTTATTTTTGTAATGTAATAAAAATCTTTGAGGCTAAACAATCTAATAATATATTTTACATCTTTTCAGCTGTAAATATGGTACGAAACTATAAAATAAGAACAAAGAAATGTGAGATTAAAGAAGCTCTGACTAAAAGATATTACCAGAGGAATATACTCTTGCAGGCAAGCTGCAACTATTTAAAATATAAACAGAATGACACTTTTATGTATACCCTCTAAAAGTTCAAATAAAGAAATGGTGAAAATTCAGGAAATAAAGTCGAATGGAAAAAAATTTAAAATATGGTAAGCAGGTTTTTATAAACTAACCCAAGAACTTTTGGTTGAATATCTACAATTCACTATGTTTAAAATTATACTCAAGTGAAATCTTTAGGATACAAGTAATGCCAAAATAAATTGACTTTAAATAAAAGGACAGGCAGATCTTCTATATTATTTATACGTATATTAATGATTTGGATAAAATCTTAAATAAATGTAAAATCCATCTTTTTACAGATGATTCATTGATTTACTATTATGGTGAGAATTTTAATGAAGTTATAAATAATGAATCAAAATACATATTTATAGGTAGATAACAATATGCTCCATAAATATTATAGGTCATTTTCTAACTGTTCCAGATAAACTTAGCAGTCGGGGCTATTTTCTTAGTGAGGCTGTGGGCTATCTCTACTTTCAGGTGTGTAGATGAGCCAGAGGTAGTAAACCTAAAATAAATAAAAATAATTATTATAATATAATTGTTCCAAAAAGTAAACAATATTACTTACATTTTTATTTATATTATTTCATTTGAATTCAATACTGCTCCTATCTATTGAAGTAAATACTTCAATTTTTTTGGTATTTGCCTTCTACAAAGAATTGTTTCATGATTGATTACATACCTTTTTACATAAGAGCAATAAGCATTTTCCTCAAAACGCTGAGAACAGACTTAACAGAGTTTAGCTAAAAATAATTTCTAAACAATTTGATTAATGGTTTGTTAACACTCTTCAAGTTAAGTGCTCGAAAGTCGTAGGAGACCTGAAAAATAAATAGCATTTAGAATACAACAATAGAAACATAATTAAAGTAGTTACTGTTACTTACAAATGGAAATATTTAACATAAAATCACCAAGTAAAGCAAGGTTTTCAAGTTATTCATTATTTGTTAATGGTTTTGTAAAGTGTAGTTTCGTAAATAATATGTTTGGGGACTGACTGGATAAATATTTGAAACATAATCACTAAAACTATTGCGCCAAGATCCAAGATGTAGGCAACATATAATAAGTGTTCAAAATGGCGGAGTTTTCTATCTCCTTTTAAAAGGTACTCAGAAAGCTGCGCAGTGCAACCATTCTACGCATAGTAAGAGAAAATCAAAGTATGTGTGACGCACGGACCTTGTGAAAAATACTATACTGTGTGTTCACCATTATTCGTCATTTATTCGGTCTTTACCTTCACAGCTCCCATCAGATGAGTCAACGCAAAACTGACGTTCTTGATCAGATCGTATTCGTTGCCGTACGTGTACAAAAGGCTCAGAAATTCGGTAAAAGTAAAAAACAAGTTAACGAATACGAAAATTCCAATTACGTAGAGCGTGTACAAAGCTTGCAAAATGTCATTTTGAGTGTCCGGTCTCCATATACCGGCGAATCTTAAAATCCATCTGTTCACAACGAAAAAATCTGTTACGTACTTGTCGGCCATACTGATAACTTTCGGTCTTTATTTTCCTTGCGATGTTTTATAGTTTCTTACCTGGATTAAATATTCTGAATTATTGTAAAATGAGTTTTGGTGTTCGAATTATTCATTCAAAAAAGCTAAAAAGGTGCTAGACCTGATGTCTGGTTTACAGATCAAAGAGACTAAACGTAATTACATGGTTATTACCTACAATCAAATGAGGTGTATCTAGAAAGTAGATATAGAAATGTGTAAATCTTTTAAGTAGGTAGATACCTATATATTCCAAAGAATGTTGAAAAATACGCGATATTTATAAA